TTTATTGATTTGAGAGAGGGAGGGCATTGATTTGCTGTCCCACTGATTTATGCATTCATTGGTTGAGTCTCATATGTACTCTGACCGTCAGTCAAACTTGCAACCTTGGTGTATAAGGATGATGCTCTAACCAATTGAGCTACCTAGCCAGGACTCAATTCCTATGGTTTATGGATCAGTTTATTACCCAAAAGGGCAAGGTGCAGGAAAGAGTATGAAGACTTATTAGAAGCAGTGCAACTTATATGAACTAATCTGGGATGGGAGTCTGGTGGGAAAAAACCAAACACCTGAGTTCAGATCAGGGCTCCACCACTAACTAGCCATGTGAACCTCGAAAGGTACCAAATCTTTCTGAAACATCCATTTCCTCATCTGCAGAATGCATATTACAGGACTCACCCTCACAGGGTTGTGAACAGTGCCTCAGTCGTACAGAGTCCTGCCCGTCACTTACTTACTGAGTGCCTACTAACCGTTAAAGGCACTGCGTTGGGGTCAAGTTACCTAATCTTTCTGAACTTCAGTTTTGTCACCTGTGTGCTAAGACTTTCAACACGAATATGAACAAGCTCAGAATTTACAGCCGGTAGCAGTTGTAATGAGTCGTCTCACGAAGGTTCCCACCACAATGCGCACTGGACTGCAGTGTTTTCCCCCAGGTCTCCTTCATGCTTCCAGATGTGTGTTTGGTGTCCTTATTGCCAGATATTAGTTGTGTCTCACAGTATTGTATAATTAGTGGAAAGAAACCCGTATCTTACCCACCTTTATAATCCCCACTATATTTTTATAGTAAGGGCTTGGTCAGTGTTTATTATATGGATAATTATTTTTTTTATTACCCTTACCCTCTCCTTTGTAAGCTAATATAGCTGATAACATCATAATGGATTTATTTTCACAGAAATCTTATTGTTTTTAACATTTCATGTGGAAGAGGTAAAGCCTAAGATACTTTTCTTACTAACCTTGCAGATTGCTTTAAGCAGACCTAAATTATACTCAGAAATGTAGGATGTCTGTGAGTGTCGGTATTGAAGAAGAAAAAGACCCTTGAATGTTCCTACTCTTTATTAGAAAAACCAAAAATTTAGAATTACAAATTTGCATAATATTGATGATTTTAGTTTATGTTATGGATACAAACAGCACTTATGAAAATGTACTATAACATTTTGTTTACAGTTGAATACTTATTTATAGTTGCATATTTGTACAGATTTTTCTGTTTTCAATAAAAACACGATTTTTTAACTTTTGAACATCTCCGGGTAACAGGCTGGATAGTAGCTGGCTTCCTTCAAGCCCTTTAGATTTTTTGTTACATGGTCTACAAGACTTACACCACCAGCTCAGTGGGCTCTTTTCTGGTTTCTGCAGTGATGGAAACGCCACCGTTGCCCACTGACCATCCGTCCCATCCCAGTGGGCCTGATTTGGAGGAAAGGAGTGTACCGAATCAGTAGTTATTAAGAGACAGCCACAAGCAAGCGAAAGTCCTGCTTCCTTCACCTGATTTGTGGAAGAAAGGGGGGAAATGGCAATGCCTCTTGGAAACTGGAATTCATTTTGCTCTTGAGTTCTAAATCATTTCGTTTTGCTAGAGTTCAGTGTATAGAAATTGCAGTAACCTGTTATGTTCATTTACATCAATAACTTGTATTTGCATTTTTAGACTAGTTTAAATAAAGACTGTGTAGATAATAGATATCTTAGTTATCTATTGCTGTATAACAAGTTGCCTCAAACCTAGGGAGTTAAAATAGCAAACATTTTTTAATCTCATCTAGTTTCTTTGGATCGGGAATCCAAGAATGTTCCAGGTGGGTGGCTGTGGCTCAAGGTCTTTCATAAGGTTGCAGTCCAGATGTCATTCCAAGTCGTGAGTTGTCTGTATGAAGACTTGACTGGGGCTGGAAGGGCTGTTTCCAAGGTGTTTTACTCATATGCCTGACAGATTTGAACTGGTTATTGGCAGGAGGCCTCAGTTCCTTACTACATGGACCTCTTCATGGGGCTTCTTGAGCATTTGTATAACAGGAACAAGTGACCAAAAAAGAACAAGATGGAAGCTGCATTGTTTTTTTTATGACCTCGCCTGGAAGTCACACGTTATTTCCATGATATACTACTGGCCCTGCAAGTTACTTCTGCTCATTGCGATAGGAGAATACACAATGGTGTGAAGACCCGCAGGCAAGGATGTGGGGAAACTATCTTGGAGGCTGTCAATCAGTATAGGAGAATGCCTTTAGCACAAATTTTGAAGTGTCCTGTGAATAACCTTTTAATTTTACCAAAAATAATATAATTATTGGAGCAAAGAGGTTTCTAATTTTTATTCCTTCTTTTTACCCCAAATTGCACATGTTGGTAACATATCGATTATTGGTCCATTTCAGTTACTTCTGTAATAGATATCTCTTTTTCAGATATGTGGTCATAGGAGAATTGTATCTAGATGAAAGGAATCATTTAGCTAGACAGGGTTTTCACTGACGATAAGGTTAGCATCACTGAACAACCCTCTGCCATTCTGTAAAACCCTCTGAATTCATCAGGCCTCAGTGGACATTTATTGAACATCTCTTACATTGTGGGCCATGTGAATGCAGATGTCAGTGCAAAATGTCTCTGCCCTCAAGCAAAGGCAAACATGGCAATAGAGGTACATATTGGAGTAGTGAGGTCAGTTGTGTAAGATCGTGGGCTCTGCCGTCCATTTGCCCATGTTCAATTCCTGGTCCTCCTATATTTAATAGCTATACGACCTTAAACTGTTATTTAACCTTTCTGGTTTTTAGTTTTCTTTCCTGATAATTCTCTTATTACAGCTTACCTACCTCATAGGGTTGTAAGGATTTAGAAAACAGTGCCAGTGAGTACAGTTAGCCAGCTACTTGAGAATACCTGGAACAATCACTCCAGCTGAGGGAAGGTTTGCGGGGGATGTGAGACATTTGCATTGTCTCTGGGAGGGTGAGTTGGAGTTTGGCCAGCACAAAAAGTTGGTGAGGCCAGGGAGACAGCTGAGCCTCGCAGGGACTACAAAGGTGAGGACCGTCCACGAGACCTGGAGTCCCTCACTTCTGGTCAGGCTGGGTATTTACCAGAGGCATCCCAAGCACATTCCCAGGACACTGGAAAGACTGGGACACTTCCCATCCCATCCCAAAGCACCTTGACTTACCCAGAATTTTATAATTATAAACATCTATAAAGGAGAGATTTTAACATCGGCATATATATATATATATGTAAATTAGTATCATTTTCAGTTACATACAAGGGAGTAAGCATCCTAATCTCCTTTTAAGTGTCTGACTCTGGTAGTGGTAACTTTATTTTATGGACAAAAGATAATGATTATGTCAGTTCTCGTAACTCCTCAACTGCCCACTTTTCACTTCCAAAAGATTTTCTTGAAAACAAAACTAAAAAGAGTGATGATGGTTAGGAAAAGAGATTTTGACTTAAATAAGTAAGAATCACTTTGCCAACTAGGCTGGATTCCAGGTATCTTGTGGGCCTAAGGGTGGGAATTAGGGTGGTTAGGCTAGTTAGCCTCTTCTCACAGATTCTGGACTCGCCCCCAGCCCTCTCTTCCAGCAGGGTTGCCCCTTCATTGCTTCTTCAATGATGCCATGTTCCGTGGACAAGCCCTTTTACCAAAGCATATCAGCCTCAAATGCATGTCTTTCCTCCAGCTTCTCCAAGAGATAAGTAGGTCTGTTGAAGCTATCTTATATAAGAGATGAAACAGGAATATTATGGTATCTGGTTGGCTCAAAGCCTGTTCATTTTCATTGGGAAAAAAATGTAATGTAACTGCTAGTCTCTTTTTCTTGTAAAACTTGGAAGCATGCACTAATGCACCTTTGCACTACAGCTATAACACTATGTAAAAATAATCCGGAAATGAATGGTGCTTTTATAAAAACTATTAAGTTATATGAAGTGTTAGTCCAGTAACCAGATTTGGAGACAATGTCACCATTCAGGATTATAGTAGCTGAGCAAGAAGAACCCCGGGATGGAAGGGGACACTTTGGACTACTTACTCACTTCCTCAGTTGTGTTTGAAATTTGTATATTTTCTGATAGCTTGCATCAGACTTGGGGTTCTCCAGCTCTTTCTCCTCACACTATTTCTAATTTGATTCTTCCCATTATTGTATAACTAATAATTTGATTGTAACATTTTTGGTAACATTTTCTCTTTCATAATAAAAGTTCAGTTTCCTGGTACATTAAAAAAGTGGTTGACAGAAGATGGTCTTGTCCCTAAAGCAAACTTTTCTATAAATAAATGCAAAAAAAATGCCTGTGAAGGGTATAGTCTGAATGTAGCAGACATTAGAATTGCGTCAATGCTCGCCTTGTAGCCAAGAGTTCTTTCTTAGGCTTTCTTTCTAACTAACGTCGTGCCAGGGGGTCACATTCTCAAAGCATTAGGCGATAGAATGGTCAGAGGACTGGAGCCAACTGACTCTCGCAGCCAGCGGCTGTGATTTTTACTCACCAAGGGAAAGTGCGGCATGCTTTTGTTTTTATTTTTTGGTGCTGAAAGCCTGAGCTCTCTCCTCCCGCTTCATTTTTAGGCCCTGACCTCAGGCAGTTTTCCAAATGTCTAACTGTTAAACCGCTCTCAAGAAATTACTGGGGGATGGCAGGGAGCTTTCGCCAGGAGGAGGAGGCAGCCCCAAGTTTCTCTAGCACACCATGGGCCATCAAATGACCTTTTTAAGAAACAACTGAAATTCCTTTTTCAAAGGCATAAAAATACTAATTGAAACCAAACCAAACAAACTACCCCATAAGCACTGCAATTCGGGGAGGATCAGAAGGGGAAGGAACAATTTTTCTTGGGAGAACTATTTGAAGCTGAGAGCTTGTGTATTTTTTGCTCTTTAATGATAATAAGTTAAAATGGGATGACTTAGTATTTTTAAGATAAAAATGAGCCAGGCCTGTAAGAACGCTGTGTATGTTTTTAGGTGCCTGTGCCTGGTGCCCTGCCCATCCTCCGGTCCGGACGACCTCGCTCTCTCCCCACCTGAGGGCTCCAGCGCAACCAGGTGAGTCCGCACATTTGCGTTCCACATGTACTTCCTAGCAGAGTATCACTTAGGGTGACTTAAATAAAATTTTTTTTTCTAAGTTTGGGAGACTTTTAGAGATTGTGCTCACTGGTGAACTCTTAAGAAGCGGGGGCTATAGATAATTATAAATGTGGTTAACGATGGTATCTTTTGCCACTGTAGTGTAAATCCCTAGATTCAAATTTGGGTTGATGCTACTAGAATCATAAAACACACTTTGGGTTCCAAATCAGAAGTCTGAAGCAAAATATTACAAATTGTATTACTACTCTTGGGCTTCCTTGAACAGTCAGACTAATGCTTTACATGGACAACCTCTTTTAGAGCAGAGACCTAGGTATTCCTACCAGTGAAAGGCTGGAAGGTTTTGGTAAGTGTGAGATATATCCTATAGTTTGAGCTTCCATCCCTTTAGTAGTGTCAGTAATTGACTCCATCAAGTAAAGAGAGGCACAGAATCCCTTGAGGTGAGGAAATACAACTAAATTATTTTGCACTTGCTTTTTGTCTGTTTGATGTGTGTTGTCCCTTATCTCTTGAACCTTGAGTCACTTATTGGTCCCAGAGGGGGAAGTAATTTGACCTTGTTTGTAGTAAGTGAATTAGTTAGAATAAACTGTTCACATTTTACAGGTGAATAAAATGTGTAAGGGCATCAACCAGTGTGCCCTTTCGTCAAATTCTTAATCCCTCATTTGTAAAAGTTTTGTGCTTGATTTTTTCCTAGATGATGGCATTTCAAAGGTCTCACATACATTAGTTTCCCCCTGAAATAAAAAAAGTATAACCTTAGAGCCTCTAGTATTTACTAGATTGTGTGGAAGGAATGGGGCCCTAAAAGCACAAGCCTATACTCTCACTGGTTCAGTTGTTCCGTGGACTGTGCTGCATTGCTTGTGGGTTAGGGAAAACAGTTACAGAGGGCCACAAGTGGTGAGCGCAAATGATGGTCTGATGGTAATAAGGCAATTTTGTTATGTCCGTGTGAGACCTGAAAAATCCTGGTTGAGCCCTGCTCTTTGTAATTATTTGTGTTACAGCCTAAAGAAAAAAAAACGTAAGAAGAAAAAATGTACTGTGTAGCTCAGCTGAGTAAAGTTCTCTCCATGATTGGACAGGCACTTAAATTTTAGTTTTAGCTTCCGTTACTGATAAAGCTGTTCCGTAAATCTTTCTTTTATACATGAATTATTTCTGTTTAGGAGGATTTATATATTAAGTTGTACTAAGAAGGACCTGTGGTTCAAGTTTAATGTCGAGGGATTGTGTACATTTGAGCTTGAACAATTTAATTGTTTTGTTCCTGTTGGAAAACTAGTCATTATCCACTAGTACACGTAGGAGATTCATGAGTTGCTTGAGTTCCCAGAAGAGTTTTCATTTTTTACTGTTTCTGCTCAAATGCTCAGTATGCTAAAAAATAAATGACTGATGTTTGACTTCAAGTGCAAAGAGGTTCCTTTAGCATACTGCCGTGTTCCTTTTTAAATTAAGTTTTGTTTGTTTTACATGAATAAAGGGCTCCTGGGCTAGGGCATAGCATAGTGAGCTACACAGGAAACTTGAAATGCTTTTTGCCTGTGCTGGTACTGAAGTAATGCGGCTTACTCATAGAAGGGAGAGTATATGAATTCCCCAAGTCTTTCTGAATGAGGCATCTAATTTTAGTCATGTTAACTTGGATGATCAACAAAGCCAACTTTTAATTCTCAGTATTGCTACACTGTAAAAGACCTGAAGCCTTTTTTTATAGAGCTACTTAAAATTTTTAATGTCTTACAATCAGATTATCTCTACTAAATCACATTTTCTCCATAATGATGCAATTTTCCCCAAGCCATTATTCTTTTAAAGCATGATGATAGAGAATAATTCACAGTTTATCACAAGGCATCTTTGTTAGGTTTATAAATCTGAAGCTATGAGAGTAAACTATAAAGCCCATATTTTCTGTAAAAAAAAATTGGGTAAAACAAAATAAGATTTTACAGATTAGTTATTTGCTTCTCTTTCTATTTGAAATAGGACTTCCCCCATGCACTCTTTTCTGGTACATTCCTGTAAAACCATCAGTGAGGGGGAAATAATGATAAACAGGATTTAGCTCTAAAGTCTTCTTTCATAACGGCCTTGCAAGTACTTTCCCATAGTTTCTGTGACGAAGTGCTCCGTGGTAACACACTGTGCATCTGGTAACGAGGAGCACTTTCAAAATACCATCAACGTTTTATATTTTAAGCTGTGTGTATTTTCAAGTTAGGTTTTCTGTCCCAAGTAGACTTAATGGAATTTATTTTTTATATGCTTATACTTGGTTTTCAGGGTCAGATTGGGGTATTTCTGAATAAAACTGGTAAAGAGATATTTATTATTGTGACAGGTAATTCATGAACACACATTTTAGGAGGTTTGAAATGATCCTGTGGAGAAAACAACTTGGTAGAACGGGGGATATTGTCTGTAATTTAAGTTGTCATGGTAACCTGCATCAAGAGGCATGTACTTGGAATCTAGGCCTGAAGAATTTTAGTGACAATAAACATTCCGGTTGCATTCATCATCATTTTTTTTTCCTCCAAGAAAGGAGCCATCTATTGTGACCTCATTATTTCATTTCTGTTTTTAGAACATAGCAGTTTGCATTTTTTAGCATTTTGAAACTTCCCTGGTAAGAGTAAAAAAAAGCAAAGTTTAGCTGTTTATGTTTGAAGTTGACATTTTTTGATAATGTACCTCAAACTCATTTTGGATGTTCAAATAGGGACAATATAATGATTACTTAATGAAGAAAGAAATAGAATTTGAAAAAATTGGTATATACATTTATTAAAATGAAGTCTTAATATTAAGAAGATTGGAATCTGGTTTTCATTGAACTCTGATCAGGGAATGTTTTGACTTTCCTAATATCAAATTGTTAATGTTTTTACTTTATGGCATCTTGTAAAAGTATACTTTAATGAAAAAGATGGGATATCATTTTTATTAATGGAGTAAGTTAACTTGGAGAAATTTGTATCTAGACATTATTTTTAGATATGCTATCTTTCACAAAGGACAATCGGATATATTTTTTAAAGGTTTTATTTATTTATTTTTAGAGAGAGGAGAAGGTAGGGAGAAAGAGAGGGAGAGAAACATCAATGTGTGGTTGCCTCTCACGCACCCGCTCCTGGGGGCCTGGCTTGCAACCCAGGCATGTGCCCTGATTGGGTATCAAGCAGGGGAACCTTTGGTTTGCAGGCTGTTGCTCAATCCACTGAGCCACACCAGCCAGGGCAGAATGTTTTTTTTAAAGAAAAAGCTTTTTAATGTTTGCTTCTCTCTTGCCTTTTGCAAAATGCTGTTCACTAATCAAGGTGATTTGCAGTTGCCATATTTTTAGGACTATAAGACACACCAGACCAGAAGATGCACCTAGGTTTTAGAGGAGGAAAATAGGGGAAAAAATTTTGAAGCAAAAAATGTGGTAAAATATTTAATAACATAAATAGCATAATATTTCACCAATGTAAAAGTAAACTACATTTACTAGCCAGGAAAGCTACATTTAGACTATAAGATGCACCCCAATTTTCCTTCCAAATTTGGGGGGAGAAAGTACGTCGTATAGTCAGAAAAATACAGTAAATGTTCTGTGTAAGGAAGGAAGGTTAAAAGAAATAGGAGATAAGGGGGTGTATACCCATTCATTCTAGGAAACTTGGAAAATAAATTGGAAGAGTTTGTGGCTAGTCTAATAAAAATATACAAAATTAGAAGTTACAGGATATAACTGTAGTTATCTATAGTTAAAAAGTGATAATACTTTTGTAGGTACATTTTCACATGTGTATGAGAATCTCAATCAAACAGATGATTCTTTTAAAAACATAAATCAAAATTTAAATTTTAGAAAGTATAAAGGTAGATTTAGAAAACCTAAATAATCTATTTACTGGCAAAATGTGAGGAAAAATAAAATCACCCATTATCTCACTGTTTAGAGAATGCTACAGTGAATATTTTGAGAAGTAGCTATAATTTTTTAAACAAAATCGTAATCAAGCTGGCAAGGGCCAAAATACTAACAATGGTGAAATAATAAAATTTTATCTCCTGTTTGAATTAACAGTATAACCAGCTATCATCACTACTATCTGAAATAGATCTGAAATATGCAGCTAGTCTATAAAGAAAAAGGACTGAAAGAACTGTTGGAAAGGATAAAATTATTTATGGATAATAAAAAGTTCCCAAGACGATCAACTGAAACTAATAGAGTGTTGTAAAATTCCATTATAAATAATTTAATATGACCTATATAGTAGTAATAACCAATTTGGAAATATGAGGAAAAAGGAGCCCATTCATAGTAACAACAGAAAGTATGCTGAGGATTAAACTTTGTAAGAAATGTGAATGGCATATAGGAAGGAAACTATTAAACTTCACCTCGAGGATGTGGGCACTCAGTGTTTCTAGATACAAAGACAACTTAATAATTATTTTATTCTCTTTATATTTGTAAGTTTAATATAATTTTAATCAGAATCTCAACAGTAATGTTTTTGCAGGTTAGTGATTCTGAAATTTCATTTTCATAAAAAATAAGAGCCATTAAATATTTATATAAAGAGGAATGATGAAGGAGAACTTGTAATGCTAGATATAATTAAATAGTATGATGTTTATAAAATAGACAAATATTTGGAAGAGAATAGAAACCTCAGAAGAATGTTGTATTGATAAAATGCCATTACAAATAATGAATATAGCCTTGACTGGTGTGGCTCAGTGGATTGAGTGCCGGCCTGTGAACCAAAGGGTCGCCAGTTCAATTTCTAGTCTAAGGCACATGCTTGGGTTGCAAACCAGGTCCTCAGTAGAGGGCGCATGAAAGGCAACCACACACTAATGTTTCTCTCCCTCTCTTCCTCCCTTCCCCTCTCTCTAAAAATAAATTTTAAAAAAAGACAAATTTAATGAATATAAAA